GAAGGCCAGATCCTGAAGATGAAACTCAAATACTTTGGCCACCTAATGAGAAGGAAGGACTCATTGGAGAAGAGCCTAATGCTGGGAAAGATTGAGAGCAAAAGAAGAAGTGGACGACAGAGAACAAGGTGGCTGGATGGAGTCACTGAAGCAGTAGGCATGAGCTTAAATGGACTCCAGAGGATGGTAGAGCAGGGGTCACCAACCTTTCTGACCTCAGGGACCACTAAATTCATAATTTTAAATCCCGTGGACCACTAATATGATCTGCCTAATGACCAGCTGGGTGGACGTGGCCAGGTGGTCATGTGGCTGGGTGGGCGTGGCCAACTCAATGTCACTCACCTCAAGGGGTCCCTCGCCAGCCTCTACTCGCCCCTCCCCTCCCCTCCCAGCCACTCCTCACCTCCCCGCATGGGCTACTTAGGGCCCCAACAGGAAGCAGTTGTTGGAGCTAAGCAGCCACCATGAGAAAGAGTTGGCAAAACAGCTCAGTTCAAATTGGATCTGACCAAGAAGGAGGCTCAGTAGAAGCACCTCACTGAGGACTATGAACATAGGCTTTCCAAACAGAGGGAAGACCTGTGGGAGTGCAAGGCCAGTACCGGCACCTAGAAGCTCAGCGGCCTGAGATGGTCAGCCAGTTCCAGGCCATGAGACAGTCCCACTGGAACAAGGCCCTCCGGCTCTTCACCACCAGTGGCGCTTCCCTCCAGCCTTCGCCCAAAGCCCTGCACCAGGAGGCCAAAGCAGACCCCAAGTCGGAATTTCTGTTCCCCTCTGACCCATACAAAAAGTCCCTGAAGGGGGAGACTCTCTGCAGCAACATAAACATTCATTGCACATATCTGTCCCAGGGGCCTAGTTTGAGGATCCCTGATTTAGTGCAATATAAAAGAATGCAAATAATTTTTCTGTGGACCACCAACATTTTCTCATGGACCACCAGTGGTCCACGGACCACCAGTTAGTGACTGCTGTGATAGAGGACAGGAAAGCCTGGAGGAACGTTGTCCATGGGGTCGCAATGGGTCAGACATGACTTGGCAACTAACAATAACAAAATTGATTATGGACAGTTTGACAAAACATTACTTTCATAGTTACAAATGGCAAATATGTAACAACTTTTAGCAAGCTGGCAGCCAGTTGTAAGTCATAGCCATGTGGTATCTTAAGAATCGTGCAAGATTCACTTAATGACCACAATTGGAACTATCAGAACTGCCATCGTAAGTCATCACAGTTGCATGATTTTCTATTTAGCAACAGAGTTTCTGGTCCTAATTATCATCATGAACTGAGAACTACTTATAGGCCTATTTGCTACCATTATTTATTAGTGTCTAATAATGTCTAATTAGTTTAATAATATCTAATTAGTGTCTAATAATGGAGATTCTCAGTCATCCAGGTCATGGTTGTCTCAATGATGTGTTTTCAAAAGGCAACTGGAGTGGGTTTTGTTTTGTTTTGTTTGAGGAAGAAAAAGAAGATGTTTCACTTCTCATCCATCCAAGCTTCTTGGATGAGAAGCGAAACATCTTCTTCTTCCTCCAAAAAAAACAACAACCAAAAAACCAAAAACCAGTCCAGTTGTCTTTTGAAAAAGTACCTTTGAGACATTATTTATTAGCTGACTGTTTTTTTCTTTGCATTAGTGACTGGAAATGAAGTTGCAACTATTTAAAAGCAAAAGTTTTAGACTCTATGATCAGTAAAGTTGAGGTGCTTTTCAAAAACACTTTTTAAAGTGTTTTAAAAGTATTTAAGTGTTTCAAGTTTTCATCCTTCCTGTTATGATAGCTAGAGAAAACCTTTTCAAGCACAGAAAGTTTTCAGTTCAGTTTTTAAATGAACTGCTAGACACTGCTGTGATTGTGACTTTTTACGGTAATATAACTTTGTTTGATTAGAATTATTTCAATGTTCAACCTATTTTTCTTGAGGAAATAGTGACAGAACAAACTTACTGTATATCCATTTGTATCACTATTGGTCATATGACACCAGAGGTCCCAGTAAAGTGGCTCAGTAGAAGAGAAAGGAGATACACCAGGATCTACAGATTGGCTTCTACGGGGTCAAAATAACTATTGACTAATGGTGCTAATGGGAGTTATATCGGGACTCTTAAGCTGAATAGAAATTGATCCCTTTAGACCGCAGATTCTGGGTCAGCCCAAAACTATCTAAACCTTTACCTTTACTTTTGATTCTGAATATGTTATATACATTCTAATTATTTAGGTATTTAATTAAATATCCACTAAGATAAGTTAAATAACCATTTTGGTATAGTGGTTAAAGGCAATAGGCAAGAAACTGGGAGACACTGAAGTCACTCTTTTTTAGTAATAAGAAGTCAATGAAATCACTTCTGAAAAATGTTACAAGAATATTGCATGGACTTGTCCAGGCAATCACTAGGAATCTGGTACAAAAGAAGATAACAAATGAGTTCTGGAGTTCAAAAAAGTTTTTTTTGTCAAAGGTGCACTTTTATTCTAAGAGATATACCCTCAAATATGTTTACATCTTCAGCCTACATGTTAGGTGACACATGCCACCAGGAAGGAGGTGGAAAGGAAACTGAATATCATTTGTCTGGGGACTACAGTGTAAAAGAAAGAACTGGAGTTCTGGCGGCACTCATAAGTTATAAGGTTCAAACCAGGTAGTATACCAACCCAGATGGCTTTTTAAGTACAAGGTAAGTTACAGTTTATCTGAATTAAGAGAGAAAATTAAACTTTGTACTGTTGCTCAAACATCTTTTATAGACATTATTTAGCCTACAATAAGATTTGTTTTTCATCTTCATTGTTACTTCCTCAATCACCTTCTGCAGGTGTACACACACCCATATTAACTTCTTTCCCCCAAATGATAAGCTTAATGTAACTTTTTACCAAGTTTGATAATAATTCAACATTTTAGCTCCCTGCATTATTTCCAATCTACGTCCTAACTGTATCCTCTCCATTTTCTACAGCATGCCCACTCAACTGCTTTAGTCTCTAATCCCCCTTTGTTTCCTTTTTTGTCATTTGCAATGGTTCTTATTTTCTCAGGTTTGCTTTTGTTCCTGTGCTACCTTGAATGCCTCTTCACAGCTTCCTCTGTACCCTTTTCTATCACCTTTTTCCATCAGCACTGGCTCTTGGTGCCTCTGCTAGTATCCTCATTCCCCCCTCCCCTTTGCCCCATGTCTTCGAGCCCAGTTGCTTTTCACTCTCTGTTTCCTTTGATCTCTTTTTTTCTGTTCTCTTCATTGACTTGCTTTGGCCCTCCCTGCCTCTTTATTTTAATCAAACACTCTTTTTTGCTTTGCTGTTAATCAAAAGCTTGTAATCTCTTTCTCTGATGCCTTTTCTGAACTGAATCTCCCATAAAGCATCCAGCCTTCAATCTCATACTAATTGAAGGATATATTATAGCCAGTATTACAAATGAAGTTCTTTAAAAAGTAAGATAGGGAAAAGCAAGGTGATTCTTATATGATATTAAGAAAATACAACATGTGCCTTCTTCAACTGCAGAGATTTTCAACTTCCTTTGTTTCACAATCCCAAATAGAGACAATGCAAATGGATTTATAATAGGAACGTAGCTACTAAGTTTGGGCACTTCAGTAACATTAATACTTTTATTGGGTTTTGACATTATTAATCATGACATCAACCAAGGTTATCTCCTAAACAGCCAAAATGATTTCCTTTGGATTATATGGATGAAGATGCCAAAGTGAACATGCGTGTGTGTATGCACACACAGACACACAGACACACCCTTTCCACCAACACTCAGAATAATGGGGACATGGATGATAACAATAGCAATAGCACTTAGACTTATATACCACTTCATAGTATTTTACAGCAGTTTACAGAGTCAGCATATTGCCCCCAACAATCTGGGTCCTCATTTTACTGACCTCAGAGGGATGAAGGATGAATCGACTTTTTCCCCTCAGAATCAAACTGCTGGCAGTCGGCAGAGTCAGCTTGTAATACTGCATTCTAATCACTGTGCCATCAGGCTCCTATCACCCACCACGATGATAGTGAAAGACCGAACACTCCCTATTTTATCCTGCTCTTGTTCTCCTAATAGATCCCAGGCCAGAGAAAGTAAATGGGGAGCATTTGGGACTCAGTACTTTCTATAGGTTCTTGGCGACAGAGGAAATCCCATTCTCTGTCTCCTGTATTTTCAGAGATTGGAAAATATGTCCTGCCTAGAAGGGAGGCACCTCATCATTTGAAAAGCAAGTCTGGCTTCACTCCTTCCTATAGTTGGAGCTGTTGTTAAGGTGATAGATGAGAGAGTGACAGAAAAAATGAAGAAAAGTGTTTCCAAGCCCAGAACTTTCATCATATTTGTTTAGGATGCCAAAACCAGCTGATTTTTACTGCTGTTCTTCCAGCATTAATAACAATCATAAGAATCCTGGACGCCATATATAATTTTAATTTGCATTTATGCAGGGACCTATATCTACTCTGGCATTTCATTTCCAGTGTAGAAAATTCTCAAGCAGAAGGACCATGATTCCAGGACTGAATTGGTTAGTATATTAATTTAACAGTGACTAGATCAGCTTTTCAAGTGCTGCAGTTGTATAATCTACATAGTTTGAATGTGATGATATGCGACTGTACTTTCATATAGATCAGTGCTGTCAAACTCACCCGCAGACCAGATGTGTCATGCGAAGGGGGAAAAAGTCACGATACGTCACATGACGCTGCCGTGACAACGCAAGTTTGACACCCCTGATATAGGGAGGGAGAGAGGCAGGCAGGCAGGCAGGCAGGCAGGCAGATCCATCCCTTTGGCCAGTGAACCATCCAGTTGCACTGAAAGCATCCAGTTACCCTTTGGAGTCAGGCACAATGGGCTATATTTTAATTGCTGGGTCATGGGAACTAAAGAAGGAAAGTGTAAGAAGGAAGATGGCTCCAGGAAGCTAGTCCTTGACTGTTCTTTTGTCTTACCTTCTTCGCAGGTCTTCAGCCACTGCTGCTCTGCAGCTGAATAAATAGGCTCGGAGGGATTTCAGTTGCTGTCTCAGACGGGCCACACTTGCCAATGGCTCAACATGTTTGTACAATATGGGATTTTCTCTCTGAATGTCAATCAGGGGCTCTTCATAAACATATTCCAGGAATTCTTTGGCTTGCTTTGATACCTAAAAGGGGGAAATCCATAAAGCTTATCTTCTAATAAATCTTTAACTGCTCAGAGGCAATCAGTACATCACTCTCTCAGTGGCATTATGCTAGTGTTATTTGTGTTATGATAAGACATACTATAATCTTATTTATTAAAAAAGCACCCTGTAGATATAATTAAAAATTATTTATTAAAAAAGCACCCTGTAGATATAAACTAAATTCTGGTGTTAAACATTTCAAAGAAGCAAAATTCAGTTAGTGGAATGTTCCAAAAGTTATACTAACTACACTGCTCAAAAAAATAAAGGGAACACAAGCAGAAGACATCCAAGATCTGAATGAATGAAATAGTCTTATTAAATACTTTGTTCATTACATACAGTAGTTTTGTGTTCCCTTTAGTTGTTTGAGCAGTGTATAAACTACTGTATGTAAAGAACAAAGTATTTAATAAGGCTATTTCATTCATTCAGATCTCGGATGCCTTCTGCTTGTGTTCCCTTTATTTTTTTGAGCAGTATACATAGGTATTAAATAAATCTACACCTACCAGGGTCTGTGGAATTTAATATAAACTCACTGGCAAAGACTAGATATACTGTAGCATGTAAGTAGCAAAAGGCTGCTGCCATATACAGTATTTTCTCTTGCTAGGTTATATCTTGTTTTTACTTAATTATGTCACAGAGTGTAAAACTGGTGTGAAATCTAAAAACCCGATAGAGCAAACAAATAAGAAGAGTTGCAGAATAAACAAATAGTCTCCTCTCTGAATTCCCAATCATTTTCAGCAACTGTGATGATGAAGGTGGGAGAACAGAGAATTCTTCAGTCATAAACATATATTTTAAACAACTTCAACTCTGATGAAGGTTGCTACTATTTTAATATTAAGATGAATCCCCACTATCTTGTAAACATAGCTTCACCTGCCCACAAAAGATAATATGCTGAAATGAAGAATAAGTAATGTCTCCCTGTATTTCTTTACTTTTACAAACAAGCTAGGGTTTTTCAGTGTTGTTCTTAGGCTTGTAATTCAATAACATGGGGAAATAGTCTAATAAGGGATATTTTTTTCTCTCTTTTAAACCAAAAGCACTGCTATTTTGTTTTATATTTTAGCCCATCTCCTACATTTTCATGATTCTTCTTTCTTGTAGTCCAGAATGAAAGTTTATAATATTTTTCACAACTAGGGGATTGTGAAATACTAGTAGGGAACTGACCATTCAAACTTAGTACAATACACCATTACTAAAACTGTTGTTATTATTTGCAATAGCAATGAGAATTTAGTGAAATTTGTTATTTTTGATATTTTTTTAGCCATTTTTGTTTCTTTTTTTCTTTTTGGATGCATATATCTAAGAACTTGCCAAAATTTGTAAGATATTCAAGAACACAAATATCTGTTTGTTTAATATCTTCTGTTCCCCTTTTTTTATAATATTAAGTAGCACTAATATAATATTACTTTAAATAGTTAAATAATGTATTTATTTTTTTATGTGCTACACTTTTATATCACTATATTTAATCCAAAAAGCTAAAATTATAATATAGGAATAATCGTATTAAGCTATTTTAGGATAAATGCTTGAAAGTTAGATGACAGAACTATGGCTTGTAGCCAGATTCCAAATCTGAGACAAATTCTGTGTTTGTTAGATTTATATTCCACCTTTCATTCAGGAGCTCAAGGTAACACTCATAGTTCTCTCTCCTATTTTTTTCCACAAAAACAATATGTGAAAGTAGGTTGGGCTTAGATTGCCTGATTGGCTTAAAGAGCAACTACAGTTCTATGAACCAGAACCAGGATCTCCTGGCTCCTAATCCAACACATTGGCTCTCTTACAAAATAGTTAACAGAAAACTTTTTTTTTTATACTTAAGTGGATTAGGGAGGGATGTGCCTGAACTACTTCTGAAAGTTATGTTGTTGGCCTGAATTTAAAAAATGTTTCAGCCTCTTTTGTCCAGGTGATGGTTCTTCTGTATCTCTGCCACTCTTGCCTCATTCTCTACAGGTGGGTAAACTAATGAATGGTTTCAGCTTTTCTACTTCACCCCCAAACTCAGTGCCCAGATTGGTAAGAAGTGTCCAGTTTCCTGCCAGCTGTCCTTTGCACAACTTTTGAAGCTTTTTTGAGGACAATGACAATGAGGCTACAACATAAACAAAGGTTTTGCTGCCATCTTTGGATATTCTCAGGTTAACCACCATAACAGCCACAACTATGGCCCAGCTGCATGAATACTACAGTAGTTGCATGGCATGCATGCTGATTGGGATTCTAACGTTTGTTGGAGAGGTGGTATTCAGCAGGTTCTGACCAGTTCTGGAGAACCAGTAGCGGAAATTTTGAGTAGTTCGGAGAACCAGTAAATGCCACTTCTGACTGGCCCCGCCCCCATCTATTCTCTGTCTCCCGAGTTCCAGCTGATCAGGAGGAAATGGGGATTTTGCAGTAACCTTCCCCTGGAATGGGGAGGGAATGGAATTTTACAGTATCCTTCTCCTGCCACGCCCACCAAGCCACGCCCACAGAACCAGTAGTAAAAAAATTTGAATCCCACCACTGGTTGTTGTGGGCAACTGAGGCTTTCTACTGGAGGCTGTGAGTCTTGTGTGCTTCGGGGCGTTCACCTATCTGCATGCAGAATTGCATTAGCCTTTGTTGCTTGGGCTTTTGCTTGGGCTTTCAACTTGGCCAGATCATCATGAGGACAGAAATGGAGTTACTTTTAATCTTCATTAGAATTAATCTGACACTGGTAAGGTACTGGAAATTAGAAAACCTCCAAGTTTCTCACTTAGTAAAACTGTTTTATTTGCATTACATGAGGGGAAATGAATGAGACAAACTCCTGTCTCATTCTCAAATATAATCATGCAATTATATTTCCTCCCTCTTGGCCTTTGCAGTGTGAGCATCAATAGCTGAACAACTATTCTACCTCCTTGCAGATGTGATTACAGCTGTTGGTAGTCAGGATGCTACCTTTGCAATATTAAACTCAAAGAAATGGTTAAGCTCTCAGTTTTACTATTGGTTCCATCTTAATCCAAGTCCCTGCATGCCTTTTCATTTGTTGATATTTTCCCCTCCCTCTTAAATTATTAATTTTCTGTTCTTTTTTCATAGTTTTATATAATATAATGACACGTAGTCACAAAATACTGATTGACTGATGGATATGTTTTCCTATTGGGCAGTACTGTGAGCGTATTCCACACTATAATCAGGGAGCAAGTACTTGTACTATTGTCAGCATGTATCTACTTTTACCTTGTATTTTGAAGTATCCCAGTTATGAACTAGCCGTGCAGGAATTAGAAAGGTATCATCAACGTGACAGAGGTTGCAGTAATACCATCCACTGTAGTTGCATACCTTTGCTTTCCCACTGCTTAAGCCAATGCAACGCTGACAACCTTCAAATAGGGAGAAAAAAAAGACTGGTGTAAAAAGCAGATTCTTAGTTACACTGAAAAAAAGTTTCCATTACTTTACCATGTAATTACTGTATCTCAGCCACAGAATTTCATGGAGCTTCAGATATCATTGGCTTTCACTTTTTGCAATTGATTTTCCCATTTTTTGCCTTTACACACGCATGCATGGTGAGAATAATTGTGTGTTTTGATTGGCATCTCTAGGAGCCATCCAACTGATGTATCTTAATACTTTTTTCTTTAGTTTTGCAGAAGACTTCATGAGAGATAGCTGATTCAAGAGATTCCAAAACGAAGAGCGGGAAGAAACTGTTTTCACATGTGAAAACTAGAAATTCCGATGACTGAACTGACTCTTAAGATTCAAAGTAATCACAAAAATCCAAATTCTTTACCAAGTCCAGCAGTAATGTAAATTGGACTGAATATTTTCCAGGTCCCTGTATCTGTACTGTCAAATGGATCAATTTTTTAGCATTCTATTATTCATTTTTAAAAATAATTCCATGATTTATACTAATACTAATTTCATGTTTTTAATGTTTTTCTCTTAAGTTTTATTTAGTCAAACAAACTTTAAAGATAGATGTCTTACAGCTGTAACCTGCAAAATGATTTTTCAGCTATTTATATATTTAGAATTTCTAATTGTTTTTGAAAATCAATGCACCTTTCCCTTTTACCCAGTAGAATCACAGTATCTTTAGGTGGTATTATAATTTTACACAATTAAGTCCTTCCTCCCAACACATAGTAAATAATTCTTCTATATTAATTCTTCTCTAAAAATACTTTCCAAGGCAGAAATGATTTTGTACCCCTTTCCTTCAGAGCATGGATATGTAACATGTGGCCTTTCAGAGGTTGTTAAGCTGCCTTTCTCAGATTTCTCACTACTAGCTATGCTGGTTAAAGCTGCTGAGAGAAGATGTAGGACGAGATTAGGGAGAATTATAGATCTGTTGAATTTTTGCTTCACCATTTTTATAGTGGCAGGCATGTTGGAAAGAACTCTCCCTTGCAGAAATGTACCAGGCATAAATTCATCAAGGGCTTCTCCATCAAGCAGACAGCAAAATTAAATATTTATTAGAATGTATGCCTATCCAGTCCAAGGCTGGTCTGAAGTACTAAGACAAAGTGTAGGTACATGAATCTTGATATAAAACTATCACAGCAAAACGAAGTCTTTATAGCTAATTAACATTCTAAGTAAATAGAGATTTGAAGCATCTCATATTATCTTAAATTTGCTTTTGAAGTATTGAATATAATCACAAACAATGCACATTGATCAGATTCCCCCTTCCTTAAGAAGTCTATATTCTTATTTTCCAACATCTCCCAAAGAAGCAATTTTTGCTCACCCTGTTTTCATACACTATTTCTCTATATTTTTCCCCTGATTTCTACTTCTGCTCCATTTCCTTAACAACACATTTTACCTGGATCATATATCATATCATGCACAATAGTCTGTGTTGCTTAGAGCACTCAAAATGTCAAATTTAATAAAAGAAAATGTATATTAAAAGTTCATGTTATAAGGCCATTGTAGTGTTATATTTTCTATGTTAAATTGTGCAACACCCTTTGTACTTTCCTTCAGTTGTGTGGCTGTTGTTTTTTAACAAGGCCTGCTATTTTGCAATCCTTTTACTTCTAATTATGAATACAGTTGATTCCTTTGATGTTCTGAAGCTCAACGTAATGCATGGTGACAAAATGCATGTCAGTGACAGCAATTAAGCTATTTTCTTCAAATAAGGAAAGAAATAAGGAAGCAATGATATAATATAACACTGTATTTTGTTACACAGGATGTCTAGGCTTCAGGACTTATAAATGGAGTCCAATTGTTAAGGTTATTTTAAAGATTTAACAAACATTTCATTATATTTAAAGAAATAAAATAGCATTTTCTATATTGCATCTTCCTCTTGTTAAATTCTACATTACATATTTCTAGAACAGTTAATTTGTCTTTGAAAAGTGCAAAGGGATTTTGTTTCATCAGCACTTTATCAAAACAATTATTGATATTCTATCAGTATTGATTCATCATTGGAATCCTAACATTCAGATCATTCTTGAAACATATTTTTGTCTTTATAAATATAATTATTCTTATTGTCAACGTTTATTAAAGGGATTTAAAAAGCTTTAGGGATATAACTGTCTAGAAATGAGGAGAAAAATGTTAATGGAGTGGGGTGCAACTAGATTTATGTAGATTTGAAAAATGTATTCCTTACCTTCTCCCCCCACCCAAAAGTACTGAATTTTAAGAACATTTGTTGGAACTATTTGGGGGTTTTCTTAAAAGATTCAGAAATCAATGCTTTCAAGTAATAATCATATTTAGTTTAAATTATGGTTCTGACTCTCATTAATTGAGACCCTTGATAACAAAGACAAACAAGCATACATTTTTTGAGAAAATTACTGTCACATTTACTGTCATCCCACCCAAAAAATTGTATAGCAATCTTAAAATGTACAAATATATCATTACCTAAAGTTCCATTTGATTTTGAAAGTTCTCTCATTAATTAAGCAGTATTTTTCTCATTTTAAAGCATGCTGAATATATTTAGCACCATTTTATAAATCCTCGCAGTAGGAGGTGATAATAATAAAAAATCATTAAAAAGAAAACAAAGATTAAGTATTACAATAAAAATATTTGTTTTAAAAACCGACACGGGGTTAAATGGCAGAAATAAAATAATGGAAAATGAAAACGAGCATCACAGGCCCCAAACTACAGACTTTGCTGGGGCAATAATGAGTAGCATATCAAGGTTTTAAAAGTCTATCTTTCTAGTCAAGAACCATCTCTAATTATTGGGCGAGAGGAAGTTAGAAGACGATTTCCAATGCTTCCCAATCTTATAACATCTTATAACATCCAGAGAGAGCAATATTGTTTTGTGAGGGTGCATCTTATGTCTGGGAGATAGAATAATCCATAATTAAAAACAGAAAATAATATTTTCAAAATTCTTCATAGTTTGCAGCATGCAGTTTTTTATAACAATTGGATTAAATGTGCACTCATTTGCATGTTATTCAGAAGTCTGCATTGAGTTCATTGGCATTTCTTTCCAAATGAAGTGGATTTAAGCTTGCTTCAAAAATCCATACAATTTGTCATGTCCAGTTTCTTTAATTAGGCAGCAGTTCCAACAAAAGCAAAGTAAATATGATGTGCTATAGAGATAAGGCATGTCTGAAAGCAGACCTTCTCTTTTAAAAGTACGTGTCCATGACCCATGTGTCATCCTTCTAGGCCAGGAGTCCTCAAACTTTTTAAACGGTGCCAATTCATGGTCCCTCAAACTGTTGGGGGGCCGGATCGGCTGGGAGGGCTTGGCTAGGTAGTCATGTGACTAGGTGGGCGTGGCTAGGTCATGTGACTGTGTGGGCATGGCCAATTTAACAGTCCATTAAACAATGCACACAAATTAAACTTTAATTTGTTTTCCTCCTGGGGGTGTTTTATTTGCTTTGGTTTGCATGTTGCTCTTTTGGTTGCCATTTCTTTTTTTTTTACTAAATCGTTTTTTCAGTTATTTAGGAGTCTAGTGGTCCACTTCAGCAAACTCAATTTTGCTGCAATTCTTCTCAGCCCCAAGGAGCTTGAGAAATCTCTCCCTCTCCCTCTCTCTTTGTCTTTCTCTATCTCTTTGTCTCTCTCTCTTTCCTTCTCTCTCTTTTCTTTCTCTCTCTCTCTCTCTCTCCTTCTCTCTCTCCCTCCCCTTCTCTCTGTCTGTCTGTCTCTCTCTCTCTTTCTCTCTCCCTCCCCTTTCTCTCTTTCCGTCTGTCTTTCTCTTTCTTTGTCTCTCTCCCTCTCTCTCCTTCTCTTTTCCTCTTTCTCTCTCTCTCCCCTTTCTCTTTCATTCTTTTTCTTTCTCTATTTCTCTCTCCCTCTCTTTTTCTTTCCCTCTCTCTTTCCTTCTCTCCCTCCCTCCCTCTTTCTGTCTCTCTCTCTCCCTCTCTGTTTCTCTCTCTCTCTCTTTCTGTCTCTATCTTGTGGAGGCAGTGAAGGTGAAAAATGGGCCATTTTTGCCTGTTTTTTTGCCTTTTCACACACACCCCCACCTCCACAAGCATTCTTCAGGCTAAATCGAGGCAAAAATGGCTTGTTTTTTGGCCAAAAATTGGCCATTTTTGCCTGGTTTTTTGCCTCTTCTAACCCCCCCCCCCACCTCCACAAACATTCTGCAGGCTAAAACTAGGCAAAAATGGCTCATTTTTTGGCCAAAAACGGGCCATTTTTGCCTGTTTTTTTGCCGCTTCTAACCCCCCTCCCCACCTCCACAAGCATTCTGCAGGCTAAAATTGTTTTTTTTATTCAGAAAGTTTTTTTATTTTATAAACAAACAAACAATACATAATCAATCAGTCAATATATCTTCTGAATACATCTTTTGTGCCTTCTTTTTGCTCCTCCAATATTTATCATAGCTTAATATTATCATATCCTTTATTATGACATTTCCCCCACTCTTCTTACTTCACTATTAATACATTTATCTATCTTTAAATTTTATTGAAAATTAAACAACCATTTTATCCCCACAAAACCTACAACCCCCCCTTCCCCACCCCCACCCCCGACTTCCAAGAGCAAAAACAGGATATAGTATTAAACAAACATAAGCTAAAATATACTAATTTACTACAAGATTCAAAACTCCCTCACACTCTTTAACTCCTCTTTTAAAAATTGTTCATCAGCCTCCCCTTTTGGAGTTCTAATTTAAACATTATAAAACTTTCCTTAAAGCATATCTTTTTAGAAGAAAAAAAATATTATTTTATATCCATTCAATTTTAAATTAACCATTTTAATACTTCAGTAAGTTTTTAAAAAGACACTTCAATAGAATATTCTTCAGAATATAACCTTAAAGATACTATTAATCCATTGAGTTAAATTATTTCTAACTCTTGAGTTCATTCTTCAAAATATC